TGGGGTTTTGTTCATCTAAGCACAAGTATAAAATGCTTTAATAGCAAGGTAGTTTAGTGGAAAAATAAAGCATTCTGAAACACTTTGGCTGTCAGTCACCTACCCTTTGCTGTTGGTTACACTTCTATTTTCCCTGAGCCAGTAGTTATCAGTGGAGACACTGACTTTTCTAACACTCTCTCCTCTCGAACAAGATAAATTGAGATATCTACTTAGCACACAGAGAGGGCAAATCCAGGAGAAAGACACTTTTTCCTCTTGATATGTTGTACAGAATTTTTCGTGTAAATCAATCTGGGATACATCTATTTTCGCAAATTAGGAGTGGATTTTGTTTGTTTGTGCAGGAGGTTATTTATTTATTTTAATTAAAATATAAATTAAAACTGCATGGTTTGCAACCACCTTTCCAAAAGTGCTTTGCTGCCCTCATGTGTTTCACAGGAGAAGTAACTCTTGAAGTCTACACACAAAATAGCTTCTCCAAGCAAGACAACAGCTTCTCCTGTTATGAACAGGACACAGTCCATGAAAATAATAACAAAAAAAAAAACCTGAAAGTTTATCCCTTTCTTCTAGCAAAGCTAATTATTATATATTAAAAATAAGAAAGTGTATTCAGTTTGAGATAATCATAATTTCCAAGCAATAGATTTCAGAGCTAGCAGGCCAATTTAGTGAAAGTTGATGATGTTGGCCTGATGGAAAATCTGAAATGCTTTATTTCAAAACCTACTTTTCATTAAAGCTAATTTCAGCATCTTTCTGCCACTTACACTGACTGGCAAAGTAACTTCTTTCCTGTTCCATTATACTATACTGTACAGAATAAAATCATGCAACTGTTGCATTAAGGCTTCTGTTACTCTTGCGATCAGTACATCTGAAGCTACGGTTCCCGTATCAAGCTTTCCTTTGACATTCCCGCCAGCCACTGCACTTCTCCCAAGGGTCTCAGTGCCCAGGGTCACAGTCTGATGGATCTTGCCTCAGAATTTGGCTGCTGAGGTTCAGACCGTCCTTAAAAAGATTTCACCGTTCACTTCTCATGTTACTGCCTTTATCCTATCCAGTCCCTATACTGATCCCAGACCTCATTACGTCAATACGAGTTTGCAATAAGTTGTAATAACAGCCCTTATGCCAATCCTGGTTTTACAATGATAAAATGATAAATGATACAGTGATAAAACATATCAGAATAAGCAATAAAATCTGCTCTGCTAACAAGCTCTTTCATAGTCTGGCTATAAGCCATAAATAGCCCTCCTGTACCAAAACTGGCAACAGTCCAGCCGATCCCCCAACAGCCATTCCACAGAAGGGGGAAGGCAAAGGCAGAGCTGGGTCACGATCCAGGTTTGTTCAACCCTGGACATGAGCTATTTGGTGTGATCAGTCCATAAACTTTTATTTATATTGCCAGGCTGTTCCTGAACCACCATGATTGTTTTATCATTAAAACTGCCACCATATGAGTGCCTTTAAACTGCCTCAACTTCTCAGTAATGACAGTACGTTAACTTCTCTCTTCACTACAGAAATATGTAGAACTCCAGCCTATAAAGCAGAAAAATGAGTTTTTCCTCCCATCAGTAAGAAAAGCTACCTGCATGATAAGCGTTCTGCAAATAAACACAAGTGCTCCTTTATCAGTGGGGTGGACAGGAGGGAACTGTTGTCATCTCATGACTAAAGCACTGGGTTTTGTTCTCTCTTCCCCTGACAGACAACAACTCTGGTACTGCAGTCTCACTCCAGAAAAGCTTTTTGCCATTGCTAGTTAGTAGCTCATTTAAAAAAAAAAAAAAAACAAAAACAAAAAAAAAAAACCTAGCAAATGCAGCATAAGCACTGCCAACAGGAAAATGCTTTTATTATTCTAGTTACAGAAAATAGCAAAAGGCCATTTTATGTGAGGGGGGAGAGGGTTAAATGCTTCTGTAACACAGAGGACTCCGGAGTGCTGCTGATAAAAATTATTTAAATCCTTCTCCAGTCACCAGTGGGGAGATGCCAGACATCAGTCAAGCACTCAAACTGCTGAAACTACCTGCCGCCTCCCCTCCCACCCCCCCAAAACTGGAGTCACCATCCCAGAGAGGAACGCTACAAAAAAGCCCAGCAAGCCCAGGCCCCAGAACTGGGGCGACTGGGCAGAGTGCGGCACGGCTCACCGAGCCACAGCCCAGCAGCCGGGCCGCCCTGAGCCACCCTCCACCCTCCTCAGCCATTAGTTTAACCCTTTGTCTTTTACTTTCCAAGTCTGTATATACCTACTGATCTAGAAATTAAAAATACATGGATCTGCTGCATTTCATACAGTATAATTTCTCTTTCAGACTTGTGTTATTGATAAAACGCTGCATGCCGCAAAAAAAAAAAAAAACAAACACGCACTGGCACAATTCTGCACCCCACCAAAGCACACACTCCGATACAAGTTTGCTGCTACACGACTCAGCAATGGTTGCAAAACTTCACACCCTGTAACTAAAAATTCCAGCCTGAGGAAAGCCTCACGTTTCCCAGACACAGCACTGCAAGGTTTGCTACCGGCACCACAGGACGGGGCACCTGTGCCTTCATGTTGTGGTAACAAGATAGCGAGGGGGAAACCACAGAGACAACTGAAGCATTGAGTAGGTGTAAACAAATATTCTACTTAGAAACATTGTGTAAAAACACCTGGTGATGGAAATTAACAAAAAGGACTGTGTTAGCTTATAGAGGCCTAATGAAGCTTTAAATGCCAAACACTAACCTGCTTGCTGGAGTCCCAGCACACGGCTAGTCTGTAAGGAAACCAATGAGCCACCTGCACACGCAGATTTCTCTCAAATACTTTCTTCTGGCATAACCTAATCGCACCGGACACCAGAGGCTGCAGACACCGACTGCGCAGCACAGGGTAGCTCTTCTCTCCCCACCAATGTCTTCTCTTGCTAAAACCTAAAAACTCTATTTCTGCTGCCCCCAAGAAGCAACTACACCTTCTCTTTCCTACTGACAGCCCAGTCTGCAGGTACCAACTAACTTTCCTCTCAGGGAAGGCCTGGCATTAACTTTTAACTTCATAGTTAACTGAGGGCTCAGCACCTCTTCTCCCCTCATTTGCAGCCCTGCGTGCCCCGCGGCGCATCTCCCACACGGAAAACACTGCCTGCAACATGGGCTTTTCCCAGGCGCTGCCGGGCACCCCGAAACAC